TGGATTTGGGGGGGGCACCAAAGGGGGTTTTACTCGTGATAAATTGCCTGGGGGATACAGGATGGGGGGGGGCACGCCCTTGGGGTCCTTACCTGGGGTATTTTTCACTGCAAGGGGGGGCACACTGCCCGGTTGGGGGGGGGTTTCCCCCTTGGGTTATGGGGCATTCCAGGGGGGGTAATTGAATGGTGGGAAACTACCTTGGGGGTTTCCCCTTCCCTTGGGGCCTCCAGGGGGGGGGCCCTGCAAAGGGGGATCATTGGCCCTTGTGGTCCTTTTGGTAGGGGGGTTTGGGGTGGTGGGGTAAATGTTTTTGGGTTTTTAAAATTTTTGGCTCATGCCATGGTGGGGGGCCTTGTTTTGGTTTTTGGTGGGGGGCCATGCAAAGGGGGCCACCTACCTGGTGGGTTTACTCGCCTTTTTTGGGTACCTCTTTTGGGAGGTCACACTGCATTTGGTGGGTCCCTTCCGGTGGGGGGACCGCTGGGTCACCCGGTGGTAACCAATGGGGGCACTGAGGGGGGGGGCCCACCAGGGGGTCACGCCATGGGGGGTCCCCCAAGAATGGTGGGGGCCCTACCTGGGGGTCCCTTTTGGGGGGGGGTCCCCTTACCATGGTGGGTTTTACCGGGGGGGTCACTCACCATGGTGGGTCCCTACCATGGTGGGGTCAATTTCCATGGTGGGTCACACTACCATGGGTTGGGCACTCTACCATGGGGGGTTAAACCCATGGGGGGGGTCACCTACCATGGTGGGTCAACTTTCCATTGTGGGTCACTGCCATGGTGGGTCACTCTACCAGGGGGGGTCACCTGCAATGGTGGGGCACTCTACCATGGTGGGTCAACTACCCTGGTGGGTCTTCTACCATGGGGGGGCACTCTACCTGGTGGGTCACCTACCATGGTGGGTCAAATTCACCATGGTGGGTCTCATCCATGGTGGGGTTAACTACCAATGGGGGTTTTCACTACCATGGGGGGGTCACATACCATGATGGGGCACATACCTGGTGGGTCATGCCATGGTGGGTCACTTACATTTTTTGGTCACACGCAATGGTGGGTCACTCTCCATGGTGGGGCACATACCATGGTGGGTCACTCTACCATGGTGGGTCACTCTACCATGGTGGGTCACTCTACCATTGTGGGTCATTCTACCATGGTGGGTCACTACCATGGTGGGTCACACTACCATGGTGGGTCACTCTACCATGGTGGGTTACACTACCATGGTGGGTCACACTACCATGGTGGGTCACACTACCATTGTGGGTCATTCTACCATGGTGGGTCACTCTACCATGGTGGGTCACACTACCATGGTGGGTCACACTACCATGGTGGGTCACACTACCATGGTGGGTCACACTACCATGGTGGGTCACTCTACCATTGTGGGTCATTCTACCATGGTGGGTCACTCTACCATGGTGGGTCACACTACCATGGTGGGTCACACTACCATGGTGGGTCACACTACCATGGTGGGTCACACTACCATGGTGGGTCACACTACCATGGTGGGTCACACTACCATGGTGGGTCACACTACCATGGTGGGTCACTCTACCATGGTGGGTCACTCTACCATGGTGGGTCACTCTACCATGGTGGGTCACACTACCATGGTGGGTCACACTACCATGGTGGGTCACTCTACCATGGTGGGTCACACTACCATGGTGGGTCACTCTACCATGGTGGGTCACTCTACCATGGTGGGTCACTCTCTACCATGGTGGGTCACTCTACCTGGTAGTGGGTCACACTACCTTGTGGGTCACACTACCATGGTGGGTCATATACCATGGTGGGTCACTCTACCATGGTGGGTCACATCATGGTGGGTCAGGTCACTCTACCCTGGTTGGGTCCACTACCATTGGGTGGGGTCACTCTAACCATGGTGGGCTCACTTCTACCATGGTGGAGTCACTCTACCATGGAGTGGGTCACTCTCCATGGTGGGTCACTCTACCATGGTGGGTCACACTACCATGTGGGTCACACTACCATGGTGGGTACTATTCTACATGGTGGGTCCTCACTTACCATGGTGGGTCCACTCTACCAGGTGGTGTCACTAACCATGGTGGGTCACTCTCCATGGTGGGTCACACTACCATGGTGGGTTCAAATCTACCATGGTGGGTCACTCTACATGGTGGGGGTCTTCGACTTCCATGGTGGGTCACTCTACCTTGGGTGGGGTCACACTACCATGGTGCGGTCACACTACCATGATGGGTCCACTACCATGGTGGGTCACACTACCATGGTGGGTAGTCACACTACATGGTGGGTCACACTACCATGGTGGGTCACTCTACCATGGTGGGTCACACTACCATGGTGGGTCACACTACCATGGTGGGTCACACTACCATGGTGGGTCCCCCACTACAAGGTGGGTCACACTACCATGGTGGGTCAACCACTCCATGGTGGGTTACACTACCATGGTGGGTCACCACTTAATTGGTGGGTCACACTACCATGGTGGGTCACACTACCATGGTGGGTCACGGCAAATTTGTTAAAAAAATAAGAAACACAAGTGGAAAGTTTAGTGAAAATAATATCATTATCTATGTTCATAACTTTTTATTACAGTAATAAATCAAAAACTATGTACTAAACTTTGCATGTAATAAACAACATTATAAATGTGGATAAATGAAATAACATTATAAATGTTATGGTAGTGTAATATGTTTTAATAATATTATTGACTTTATCCCATATTTTACCATCTGTTCTATATTGTTTTACAGTTTGTCATATAAATTCCAAATCAACAATTAATATTTACTTATTAAAGTAACAATGATTTACTATTTATTTTTATATATTTTTATTTATTTGATTTATTTACTAGGAACAATAAACTAATATAAAATATTAGGGTAAACTTGGTATCATCAATAACTTTTTATACTTACCAGCACAAAAACAAAGTGAATGATCTTCTCCTCATAACAGGAGTTCTCAATAGGTCAATAACAGTCTTCTTGATCATTGTTTCTTTTGTAGTTTCATTCACAAGTTCAATGTTACTGTTGGTTACTGACAAAGTTCCATCAGCAGTGTTACTGTTGGTTATGACAAAGTTCCATCAGCAGTGTTACTGTTGGTTACTGACAAAGTTCCATCAACAGTGTTACTGTTGGTTACTGACAAAGTTCCATCAGCAGTGTTACTGTTGGTTACTGACAAAGTTCCATCAGCAGTGTTACTGTTGGTTACTGACAAAGTTCCATCAACAGTGTTACTGTTGGTTACTGACAAAGTTCCATCAACAGAACCAAACTGTCAGTAAGAATAACAAATGAGCGATTAATTTAAACTGATTCTCTAAGTCAAGATGTGATTCATAACTTAAACTGATTCTCTAAGTCAAGATGTGATTCATAATTAACTGATTCTCTAAGTCAACGAGATGTGATTCATAATTTAACTGATTCTCTAAGTAAAGATGTGATTTCATAATTTAAACTGGTTCTCTAAGTCAAGATTGTGATCGTAATTTTAAACTGAGTCTCTAAGTAAAAGGATGTGATTCTACTTAAACTGATTCTCTAAGTAAAAGATTTGATTCATATTTAAAACTGATTCTCTAAGTCAAGATGTGATCATAATTTAAACTGATTTCTTAGTCAAGATGTGATTCATATTTAAACTGATTTCTCTAGTCAAGATTGTGATCATAATTTTTAAACTGATTCTCCTAAGTCAAGATGTGGGGGATTCTTTTTAAATTTAAATGATTCTCTAAGTCAAGATGTGATTCATAATTTAAACTGATTCTCTAAGTCAAGATGTGATTCATAATTTAAACTGATTCTCTAAGTCAAGATGTGATTCATAATTTAAACTGATTCTCTAAGTCAAGATGTGATTCATAATCAGTTTAAGTAAATAATATAAATAGTGAATCTAGAGGCACAATATTATAACAGGAATATACAAATAATCCGAACTTATGAAACTGATATGAATGACATAATCCGTCCTATTTAGGCCATAGTCTGCCTCATAAGTGCAGGTTATTTATCTTATTATTTCATGTACATGTCAGTGGAAATTTGCTTAATTTTTTTCCTAATTTTCGGAGAAAAGAAAAAAAATTCGTCATGGGCAAGTTACCTGGACGTTGTGAAGGTCCATCAGATGTCTTGGTAGGTCAACATTATTGACTCTAGCAACTCTCTGTATAATGTTCTTGGCTTCATCATTACGACCCTCAGCACTAACCATCTAAACCACTCCTCTGGCAGTACCTAAACAACCACCCCAAAACAACACAAACCAATTAAGGGACAGTAAAAGTCTTTATGTTATTTACAAAGTAATAAACCTGTATATATGCAAAAACAACCATTGTGAAAGAAGACTGAATTCCAAGTAAACTTTTTTATGACTTCTCACATTATCAAAGGTCTAGACCACACCACACCATTCACATCCCACAACAAAGCAACACCTGATGCACTACGACACCCAAAATCGGAAGAAAGAGGCCTACCCTGAGCCCCGTCCCCCTTGGCCAAACTAGACCGGTCCTTCACGACATCCCACTAACAAAATATTTCTAACCAAGGAAATAAGATTTATCATTTTACACTTGTATTATTAAACTTTCCAACATTCTATTAATTATTACTGTTTATTTTATACAGACAAAGGAAATATTCATATATTTTCAAAAATGTTTTTTATGAAGCTCAAGATTCAATATATTCCTGTCGACCATGGACTTGATTGATACAACCTTTCTCAACTTTTTGAATAATCAATTGGATGGTTAAAAATCTCTCAAATGAATTAATAGAGCATTGGAATCTTGTCCAGTTCTATTGCTATATTTTTGCTGGTTTTAATCTTAGTTTGAGACTTAAACCAGTTTGACTCGTAATAAACTTTATCTCCAAATTTTACAAGGAATCTATAGACACATCAATCAGCATTTTTGGGGGCGGAATCGTTAATTAAAAGTTTTTTTTACTGTATCAAGAATTTGAAATACATTTTACATTAAAAGTCTTAGAAGAGAAGGCATATTCACCAAGTTTCATGGTAAGGGAGAACAAGACATATTATTAGTTGAATAAGGCAGGTGTCCTTGTAGGATTGTAAAAGTATTTCTAGAAATTGTTTAAAAATCCTATCCACTTACGTTTCTTGGGTATTTCAGATTAATATTATGTTCATCAATTCGGGATATTTCTTATTTATGTAAAATCTGGACTACCAAATACACAAGCCTCTCAAAAAATGATGAGAAAAAAGACAGTTTAACTCTACTCTTGATGTTGAAGAAATAATAGTGTTATAGGAACAGGATTTGTAGGTTTTCTGTAAATTTTAATTTGAATTTGTTATTACTCTTAATAAATTAAAACATCTTGAAAAGGCAATGAGTTATTTTCTTTTAACTCAACAGTAAAGTTTATAGAATGGGCTAAGCTATTTAATTTTCCCAAAGGAAATGGTGTATATCTACAATTTTTGGGCATAAGACACAAAAATATCATCCAACATATCTGAACATTTAGATCTATTAGGGAGGATTGTGTTAAGCAACCTTGTTTCAAAAAAATTCCATGTATAGGTACAAGAACCGGTGAAAGAGGCATTTCCATTGACCAAACCAACTTTCTGGATGTATAATTATCATTAAATCAAATTTTGCATCAACAATGCAAAGTTTATTAAGTTTAATGGATAGTAGCGAACTTGGGCAAAGGGTTAAATCATTGTTAACGAGTTCCTTCAGATGAGAAACTTAATAAATCATCAAAGGAAAACGTTCGTAAACAAGTAAGTCAGTAACAAACAAAATAACCATGTTAATTCATTTTAAGTCGTCAAGAAGGCTTCATTTATAAAACTAAATCTATGTTGCTTTTAACATCAAAGTTAGAAATTTTGCCAACAATAGGGCTCAAAATTATACAATGGCTTGTTGCATTGTTGAGCCCAATGTTGGCAAAAACTTCGCTAACTATTATGGTAAAAAAACAACATAGATTTAAGTTGATAAATTAAGCTAGAACTTGCAATTTGGCTAAAATGGCAATGCTCATCTTGCCATATAGGGACAATAGTGAAATTTGTGTATGCAATAATCTCGCCAAAATCATTCTGACTACACGAAAAAAATATATTTCACTGTGTTGTTTAGTTATTTAAATTATTGTAAACAAATCTTAAAATATATTTAGTTAGGTTAGCTAAAATAACTGCACTTGTTTTAATAAGGTTAGGTTTATTTTTTGCAACAAAAGGTTCCTTTTGGTGCAAATTTTGAATTTTTACATCAACATTAATGAAAAAACTATATCTTTTAAACGTATAAGAGAAAAATTTTAGAAAGGACTTAATTTTAATGAGTTCTTGCTAATTGACAGTTTTACATATTCGGCACATGTATTTATATATATACTTATATATATATATACTATATATTTCATATATATATATATATATATATATCATAATGTGTAAATTCAAGAATTATGTGGATTAAAGTAAAGGTTGGATGCGAGAAGTGGGTCATAATAAGCGTGTATGCACCTGGAGAAGAGAGGAATGAGAGGAGAGAGAGAGAGATTTTGGTGAATGTATAGGGCCTTTGCAACAGTGAGAGGTAATTGTGGTAGGGGACCTCGAATGCTTAAAGTTAAGGAGAAAACTTTTAGGGTGTGGTAGGTAAGTTTGTGGCAGTGCCAGGTGTAAATGATAATGGGAAGCCTTTGATTGACTTTGTATAGAATGGGCTTCATTATAGGTAATACATATTTTAGAAAAAGAGGATAAATAAGTATACAAGATTATGATGTAGAAGCGTAATGACAGTAGTTTGTTGGATTATGTATTGGTAGATAAAGACTGTTGAGTAGACTTCGGATTGTACATGTTATAGAGGGGCACAGATATATAGATCACTTTCTAGTTGTAGCTACACTGAGAGTAAAGAGTTAGATGGGATACAAGGAGAATAGATGCATCAGGAAGAGAGAGGTTGAAGGTTTATAGCTAAAAGAGGAGGCAGTTAGGGTAAGATATAAAACAGCTATTGGAGGATAGATGGGCTAATGAAGAAGCATAGGCAATGGGGTCGAAGAGGTATAGGGTTAGGTTTAATAATGTAGTGTAGTTGTTTGAGTGTTCAGCAGAAAGTTTGTGGTTACAGGGAAAGTGGGTGCGGGAGGAAGAGTAGCGATTGGTGGAATGATGATGTAAAGAGAGTAGTAAGGGAGAAAAAGTTAGCATATGAGAAGTTTTTACAAAGTAGAAGTGATGCAAGGAGGGAAGAGTATATGGAGAAAAAGAGAGAGTTAAGAGAGTGGTGAAGCAATGAAAAAAGAGAGCAAATGAGAGAGTGGGTGAGATGTTATCAACAAATTTTGTTGAAAATAAGAAAAAGTTTTGGAGTGAGATTAACAAGTTAAGAAAGCCTAGAGAACAAATGGATTTGTCAGTTAAAAATAGGAGAGGAGAGTTATTAAATGGAGAGTTAGAGGTATTGGGAAGATGGAGGAGAATATTTTGAGGAATTGTTAAATGTTGATGAAGATAGGGAAGCTGTGATTTCGTGTACAGGACAAGGAAGAATAAATCTTGTAGGAGTGAGGAAGAGCCAGTTGTGAGTGTGGGGGAAGTTCGTGAGGCAGTAGGTAAAATGAAAGGGGGGTAAGGCAGCCGGATTGATGGGATAAAGATAGAAATGTTAAAAGCAGGTGGGGATATAGTTTTGGAGTGGTTGGTGCAATTATTTAATAAATGTATGGAAGAGGGTAAGGTACCTAGGGATTGGCAGAGAGCATGCATAGTTCCTTTTATAAAGGCAAAGGGGATAAAAGAGGGTGCAAAAATTATAGGGGATAAGTCTGCTGAGTATACCTGGTAAAGTGTATGGTAGAGTTATTATTGAAAGAATTAAGAGTAAGACGGAGAATAGGATAGCAGATGAACAAGGAGGCTTTAGGAAAGGTAGGGGGTGTGTGGACCAGGTGTTTACAGTGAAACATATAAGTGAACAGTATTTAGATAAGGCTAAAGAGTCTTTGTGCATTTATGGATTTGGAAAAGGCGTATGACAGGGTGGATAGGGGGGCAATGTGGCAGATGTTGCAAGTGTATGGTGTAGGAGGTAGGATGGTATAAACCTTGGTAATAAATACCGACAAGTTGGTTTAGAAAGACATGTAAGCAAACACTATAACATATTTATTAGAAAACGTTTCGGTCCTGGGACCTTGATCACTTCTAACATACAGAGGTAGAAAGACATTATATATAGAGGCGGAGAGTGAGATGTGACGCACGTGACCTGAGGAAATGTCATAAGAAAAATAAGAAGGGAGGCCTTCTACAGTTTTTCCTCCATTTCTTATGTTCTTATGACATTCCTCAGGTCACGTGCGTCACATCTCACTCTTCGCTTATAATATTAATATCTTTCTACCCTGTATGTTAGAATGATCAAGGTCCCAGGACCGAAACGTTTCTAATAAATATGTTACAGTGTTTGCTTACGTGTCTTTCTAAACCAGGAGGTAGGTTACTGAAAGCAGTGAAGAGTTTTTACGAGGATAGTGAGGCTCAAGTTAGAGTATGTAGGAAAGAGGGAAATTATTTCCCATAAAAGTAGGCCTTAGACAAGGAGTTTTGATGTCACCGTGGTTGTTTAATATATTTTTAAAATGGGATTGTAAAGAATAAATGCGAGGGGCTTGGCAAGAGGAGTGGAGTTAAAAGATAAAAATCACACACAAAAAAGGGGGTTGTCACAGTTGCTCTTTGCTGATGACACTGTGCTCTTGGAGATTCTGAGAGAAGTTGCAGAGATTGGGGGATGAATTTGGTAGGGTGTGCAAAAGAAAAAAAATTAAAGGTGAATACAGGAAAGAGTAAGGTTATGAGGATAAAAAAAAAGATTAAGTGATGAAAGATTGAATATCAGATTGGAGGGGGAGAGTAGGAGGAGGTGAATGTATTCAAATATTTGGAGTGGACGTGTCAGCGATGGGTTCCCATTAAAGATAGTGAATCATAGAATTGACGAGGGGAAAAGAGTGAGTGGTGCACTTAGGAGTCTGTGGAGACAAAGAACTTTGTCCTTGGGGAAAAGGGGGGAATATAGGGAGTAAGTTTAAAACCAAAACGCTCTTATATGGGGTGTGAAGCAGGGGTGATGAATTTGCGCGAGGAAGGCGGAGGCATGGAGATTCATGTTAGGCAAT